ATTCGATTGTCTGCTAGATCTGATCAGAATTCAATACTTTCTTTTTTGCATTAATCATTGATGTGGAAAATAACCGAAATCCACACGGATTATCGCTTATGTAAGCTTCGGGTATTTTTAAACCTTTGGGGGTATTATATTTAGCTAGAGCTTATAGTCTGATCTGAATCTGATGAAATTCTGTGCTGGCGTTGCATCGCCTTACGTTACAAGAAAACGTAAGCCCAGCTCCCTCTCTTCTGGATTGCTCTCGTTCTGTCGCAGCCTGCCATAGCCTCTCCAGCAATTAGATAAAAGGCGCGTGTAAGCAACAACAACAACAGCAGAAGCAGCAAAAGCATTGCCAGCAACAAATGCAATTGCATTTGCTGCGGTTACAGCTTTTCGTTGCTGTGTGTTTTTCTGTTGTAGAATAACAAGTTGTTTTGACTGTTGGGCCGCTTGATCGTGTGGTAAACAACAAAACAACAGGCTGCCTTACCGCAAAAGTATTTCATTGCCAAACTCTTTATAGAGGCATGGGCAAGCGCCTACCGATAAACTATTCATTGCGTGTGCTGCGTGCATCTGCAGCTGCAGTCTTAGGCTTGTTTCAAGCGCTTCCCGGCCAGCGGTTTCCACTGAACCGCTCCAAAAACACATGATGATTATAAGTATACCCTTGCAGAAGACATTTTGTATTTGGCCAGATGTTTGCAAACAGGGAAAGATGCATTGACGTCCTAGGAGATGGCCGTAGGTTTGTCCGTTTCTAGGAACAGTATCCCTTAAATAGGCATTGCACTTGTAAGAGCCGCCATGATGGGATCGTGTGTCTGTACCTGTAGCTATCGAGGATCGCAGAAACGATTGGTTGAAATAATAAGTGACTGTTCGAAAAACTTCTTTGTTCTTAAAGATAATCCAAACCAACCTCAGAAGTTGTAGTTTTGTGGGTTCGTTTGACCAATGAATATATAAATCGGATATACCAGATTTTATACAGCTTAGAGCCCCAAAGATAACCATGGCTTCCTAGCTTTTAATTGGCATTGCCTTGAGCAACAGAGAACTACATATGAAAACCTTAGCCTAGGCAGCACCTGTACCGTGTACACCTGTGTTTGGAAACAGCACCTGACATTTTTGTTGTTGGGCGTTTTCGAGTTTTTCCTTGCCTTGGCAACTTGTTTGACGGTTTCTCTTTTCGGTGCTGGGCTGCCTTTGGTTTACAGTTATCGATTGACCTTGTTGCTGCATATATTTCGAGCCTAGTCCATTTATATTTTACTATTTGCCTTCCCGGGTACTTAGAGGACATACGCCTGTATACATAAAGGTAGGCTCGAGCCTGGGACAGGCTAATTTATTATGCCCATTGACCAATGGCCGACACACACGGAGCGTTTGACGTGATAATGCCGCCAATTTACCGAAATTTCTATTTCTATTTTGAGGCAGGACGGCTTTGGTAAGGAAGTTGACAGCCTGTCTGTAAGTGAGCACACACACCCACATAAATATGTATGTACATATGCATCCTACAGAGCTGCCTCGTCATGGCCTCGCATAATGACAGTTTGTGGGATTATTTTTTTGCAAACAGCTGATGGCCAGGGGAATCTATACCTCCAGACTGAGGGCCGGGCCGGGAATGTGCTTGTAATTGAAGTATTCGTTTTCATCACCAACTGAGCTAATCGGAAATGTCTTTATAGTATTAATTAGCGTGGAAATATGATCGTCTGGCCCTTTCTCGATTGATTTGTTTTGCTGTTGTGCAGTTGGCAACGCTTTGTTTCCAACGGTGGTTTTTGTTGTTCTTGCTGTTTGGGTTCCTCCTGTCGTCGCCTGCTGATTAACTGTTAAATTGAATGAACACTCCTCCCCATGCGCTTTCTGTCTCCCGCTCACTCGTTCCCCCCGTTGCGCTCTTCTAACTATGTAGCATGTTGTTTACAGCTGCATGCGATTTTAATTCTTTTGATTGCTCTCTCACGCTCACTTACACACACCCATACTGCTGCGCTAGTATGTGTGAGAGAGACAAGTTCACTTGACACATTTACAAGTGGTGCTAAAGGGGGAGCGAGAAGTGCAGCTTCGCTCCTTTTGTAATGCGTGGTTTCCTTTCTTTTTTGCTTTTGCTGTTTCTTATTTTTGTTTTGCATCGTTTGGCGTATAAACAGTTACAAAGCGAGCTTTCTGTATGCAACGTCAACGGTTGAGCACAACAAATAAACAACAATTACACCAGAAGAGAGAGAGAAGAAAATGCCATACGCCGAAGCGTTTGATACCCTTGCAGATGCATCTGTACCATTGCATCTACATGCATATCCACATATTTGCATACACATCTGATATACGTAATAAACTGATTTGGACAATATATGGCTGGATGCAGTCGAATCAACTCGCACAAGAATGATTTTGGAAAAAAAGCCTAGTTATGTTCTTCCCTGTCGGATCACACTAACCACCATGTATACCCTCGTCAAGGGTATTTAAAGTATTCCCCTTTGCTGGGGGCCAAGCACATGTGCATACAACCTTACATTTGCATTAATGTGGTCGTATGCCTATGTGTGTGTACGAAAAGGAAAACACGTCATCTGCAGCTATCGCACTTTGTAATTCGAGCAGCAACGTCAGCGGCCACTGCGACAGCGACAGAACGACTCTCAGAGCTGCTTCTTCCCTTCCGCTCCGACTCGTTCCATACAAATAGTAACCATCAACAATGGAAAAAGTTTTGTGCCCCGCCCCCGTCAAATGTAATTACAAAAGCTCCGTTATTGTTGCTTTGCTCTCTGACAGCGTCGACGGCAGCAGTTCGTTGCACTCGAAAATTAAGAATAGCAAAAGCATGCAAAAGGGTAACGTAACGCTTTGTCCTGTTAGGATCCACACCCCCTGGGGATCCCATAGGATACGATACACTAACGCAACAGTTTCGATTGTAATCCCAGGCCCTGATTTGGGTCAACCGCGAGTTGGCAACGCAATAAAATGCAAAAGGTAAATACATAAATGGAATGGGAGTGCATGGCTCCTACAAAAACTAAAGCGTTGGGCTGTGCCCAACCTGCAATCTGTAACCAACACTTCTGTAGTGCTTTACTCTCATCTGCTGAATAATTATATAAAAAGCAGCAACAGTGATTGGATAAATCGCATGTCCAACGACTAATTCCCACAATGTCCGCACCCAGCCCCAGTAATAGAGAATGCCGAACCCAACCTGATAATCAAATTGATTGCGAATTGCTCCCGCAACGCTCCATTAAATCCAAATTTCTCGATTGCCATTGCAGGAGAAGACACTCCGACAGACGCCCCAAAAAGAGAACAGCCCCGAGCCACATTTGTAGGCCAGAGTAAACCGGAGAAGCAACAGCTACAGCAACAGCTACAGAATGGTCGATTTCCGATTCGATATTAGGCCACTGTTTCCGGAGGCGATTGTCAGGGTGACGTCAAACCTACTGCCGCACACCTTTCGCGGCGACCGGCGCCAGTGCCTGTAAGTATTGAAACTGAATGAGGAATTGGATATCGGATAGAATCTCGCCCAGAAACTGGACACTAACCTTTACGTTTCCCAGGGATGCCACCTCGAAGATGTCGGAGATAATCGACCGTCTGGGTCAGCTGTCGGCCACGTCGCAGGGCCTGTCCAAGCCGGTGACTACGGCCCAGCGTCTGCGGATGTCCGAGAACCAGACCATCTATCTGCTGGCTGATACAGAGGCAGGACACAAGTAAGACACCAACAGCATTTGCTTGCCGAACGATTCAAAATGAATATGACTTGTTTTAGTGGAGCTGTGACTGGGCTGCTCAAGGTGGGCAATAAGGATCTGTATCTGTTCGACGAGACCGGCCAGACGCGTAAGGTGGAGAGAGCTCCATCTATTCTGGACTTTTATGTGCACGAGTCCCGTCAGCGCGCTGGACTGGGCAAGCGGTTATTCGAGACCATGCTGAGGGAGGAGAACTGGACCCCGTTGAAGTGCTCGGTGGACAGGCCATCGGAGAAGCTGTTGGCCTTCTTCGGCAAGCATTACGGCCTGGTGCGCACCATTCCGCAGTCCAATAACTTTGTGCTGTACGAGGGATACTTCAATGAATCCAACTCCTCGAATGGTCATGCCCACGAGCAGTCTCCGCAGGAGACCAAGAACGGGCTGCACATTACAAACAGGTGAGTCCCTGGGGGCGTGACCGGGACCGCGACTGCGACCGGTATCGGTGCCAAGACTGGGCCTGGCCTGGCGCATTTCGTGGCAATTAAGGCGTTGCTTTCGCTGCAGGAAACATTTCACTTTCAGTTGGCCATTTCTTTGGCCCCATTTGCATATCGTTTGCGAATGGGACCGTTGTCGTGGCCAACATTTGTTTCTTTCTTTGATTGTTTGTTTGTTTGTCCAAAGAAGCCCCCCCGTGCCGACCTGATCGATATCTGAATGAAATCCAATTAATCCTTAGATAAGAACTGACGGTGGCCTGTTGCTTTAAGCTTTTGCTTTCAATGCCTTAAACTAAACTAACTCTTTCTTTCTCTCTCGCCATCCACATGTTGCGCTAACCATTGATAACCAACCATGATCATAATCATCAACGAACAAACCAACATATGAACACACAGTCCTAACACACAACTTTTTGGTGCTACTTACTTGGGCGAGGATGTCAATCACAGGCGACGCGGTTCCCAGCAGCAGAAGCAGAACTCATCGAATGTGCTGCTACAGCAAATAACACAGATCTCACCCAACGGACGGTATGGCGCCCGGCATCCCACCTGCACCATGGCAGAGGTACTAACAGACAAGTGGATAAGCGGTGGGGTTTCACCACGAAAAAAAAAAGGACCCGACCCAAAGGGCTTCTAAATAATAATTATAGTTAATGTTTTCTGTGTTGCAAAATTATTTGTGGAAAATAATGCCACTGTTCTCAGAACCTCAGTAGGCCTTTTCCCCCCGGGTTCAAATTCCATTACTTCGTGTGTGTCATTTGAAGAGCTCTCGAAAAAGTTCAGTTAAAATTTGTACTCGAACCCAAACGGATCTGTTTCCCAATTCCCAGTGTAGAAAATACTTTTTACTAGTAATATTTTCTTTTTTGTTTTGTTTTTGTGCTACATTTAAAATATTTTCAACTCGAAGAACCAAGCCGAGTCTCATCGCGATTTGTGTCAAGTGTTTCGTGCTGATTAGTCGTTTCTAGTGTTGAAAATTATGGACGCGAAACGTGGTAATAATGCCCCTGCCACACGCCATGGCTTTCACGCATCCCGTACTAGTGTTGCCGTAAGTTGAACGTTGCTCAACCTCAACCATCTTCCACTGATGAGGGTTACCTGGCTTTTTGCAGTCACGCCATGGCCAGCAGTCCGCAGCTGCAGTGGTTCAAGGAGCCACCATGTCACGCAAACATATGAGCGAGGCCAGCCTGACGCCTAGCCAGACCAAGCGGGATACAGAGAATGTAAGCCTACTTACTCGTGTTGTGCCTTCGAGCTGACTCTTCCTCCTGCAGCCTCGCAAGAGTCCGTTGGATGCTCTGAGTCGTGCCGGCACAGCTCGCCAGCAGGATCCCTTCCAACGTCGCTCGGGTCTACAGGATGTGGACGATGCCTTCTTGGCCACGAATGCATTTGCCCGACCATCGCGAGTTCGCCACTCTGGATTAGATGGTGGCGCTGCCCTTCCACCAGCAGGAACTGCTGCAGTGGCACCCATTCGCATGTCTAGCGGACAGGAGCAGTCTTCGCAGCCAGCCGCTCCCACACAGGAGCAGCAGCAGATGCCACCGCCTCAGCAACAGTCGCCGCCGGTGGCTGCTGTGCCCTCTCAGCAGCAGTTTATTCAACAACCAGCCGCTGGCCAGCCCACTCGCCACGATCCCTACCCCACTGGACGGGCCCATGTCCACCATAATCAGCAACAGCAACAGCAGCAGGTTGCCTTTGATCAGCAGCAACATCAACAACAAATAGCCCAGCAGGATACCCAGTCCATGAGCCAATCGCAGCCACAGGGACAACAGCAGCCGCAGCAGCAGTCCCAAGGCTTCGTAAATATCACAAATATCCTCGCTAGCTTGCGCAGTGATTGAAGAGCTGTTCCCTTGCCTCCCACAGTCTAATCAGCCCAATGTCGGTGGAGGCGAACGTGCTGCAGCTGGCGGTTTCAGCAACGGAGGTCAACCGCAGCAGCAGGTTGGCGGCGGTGCTGCTCCGCCTCCCGAAGCCGAGTTGTGCACCACGTGCCCCAACTGCCAGACCACCATCTACTTGGTTCGCTCCGCCGAAATGGGAAACGGCGACAATGCCGCCCCAACTCAGTAGATAGATGCAAAGCATCAAAAGACCAAATTCCAGTACACCCCAAATTCCCATAGAATCAATCTATAACTTTGGAAAGAAAATATATTCCAGTAACGCCACGAAGGAGTAACCCAGTGTCGGGCCATGTCCTCTGGAAAAAATTCTTCGTAATCTAAATTTTCCTTGCAAGTGTTATTCGTGAGTGTCCTGAGAATGTTTATATTTATTTTTGTGAAATAAAAACCACCCCTGAGGGGGGTGAATGAGTGTTTGCCATGTGTCACGACTTTCACTGCCCCACAGAGTGGGTCATTCCTCCCTTAAGGAGAAAGTGGTGGTTGGATGACATGGAAAGTTGTGTGTTGGCTGCGTGCCAAGGCGCTGTTTTAGGGGCGACATTTGGCCCACTAAAGCCCCAAATATACGTTTTGTAGCCCAGATTTATATTAAGTCGTATGCTAAGCAGTTAATAAAGAAATTCCCTGGATTCGTACTACCACTGAAATGGGTCCTAATTAATACAAATTGCTAGATCTTATCCCTAGAAAATACTCCTTATATTTTCCCCATAAAAATGTTTCTAATTTTCCCCCGTTTTCCATTCCATAGATAATTTCTGGAATCTCGAAGTGCAGCACCAAAGTCGGTGGCGCCAGCAGTGGGGAGTCGAGCAGGTGAGGCACATTCCATCCATCCATCCAGATCATACAGAGCATTTTCTCCCAGTCCATTATCATTTCTCATTTTCGTTGTTCTGTGTTCGTCATTTGGGTTTGATTTCTTTCTTTTCGTTTTTGTCTTTCAGAATCAAATAGATAAAGCAAAACCACAAAAATTGCACACACACGGCTACAAAAAGAAATAATAGAAAATTCAAAAAGAAAAAGACATTTACATTTATAATCTAATACAGGAATTGTACAAAGCTTTGATTTTAGCCAATTATTTATATTTTCGCCTAGTTGATTTATATAAAGAGTTTACTTAATGTACCAGCAGAAGACGCTGCCTGTACTTGCCGCACCACCCCAAAAAGCCACAGCCACCACCATTCATCTAAATATACAAAAGATAATCTAATACCCACAATATCGGAACCGTCACATCACAAACAAACAAATACCTGACAATTGTGATCACAACATATCTATTTTTTAACATTTAACTACATTTACATTTATTTGTGGTAATTTATTCGTTATTTTTTTTTTACTTGAGCAATAAAACCAAGAATGTTCTCGAGCATGCTTCGAGTAACCAACCCAATATCCAACCATGAATTACTTAGAGAATCTTAGGAGTGCAAATCAGTTTGTTTAAACCCATTGTAACCCTCTCTCGACAGCGGCAATGGCGATGGCAACAACATCGCAGAGATGATGACCGCTCAAATGGATTTGCATCACCTTGAGGATGAGCAGCAGGCACACGGGCACATGAATACCAAACGAATGGACCTGCAGGAGGTGGCCGACCAGGAGGAGGCACACTTCATTCGGTTCGGGCTGCAACCTTCGATGGAGGAGCCTCAACCGCAGTTCGAACCAGAGCCTGAGCCAATTACACCACCTTCACCGCCCCCGAAGACCCACACGCCCACACCGCCATCGGTGCGTTCGCCGGAGGTGGCCGAGAGCATCATTGGCGAGAACCGCAGGCCAGCGGCCTTTCAGCTGAGCAAGCAGCACACCGGAATGAAGAATCGCTCCTTTGGCGTAGGCATGGCGGTGATGCCCAGCAGTAAGATGGAGTTCGACCAGGAGGAGCGCGAAGACTTCGGTGTGGTCAAGATAAATCGTCCGCCGGGACACGATGCCCACTCGCCGGGCCACGACAACACAGACGCCGTGTCCACTGTATCATCTGGCGGCGGGGGCGGTGGCGGTCACCTCACCAACGAGGGTTACAACGATCTCAAGTTCTATCACAACCGGTTGTGGTAAGAGAAGGGAAACCAGCAGCAATTGCATCTTTTGTACGTGGCATAATAAGCATAATCAAGCAGATTAAACCAACAATTTAGAGACTAAGCATGTACTACTTAACCAGGCCTAAGCAGACACAACCTACTACACAAACAAAAACCACAATCAGTCGGTTCCTGTACTTCAGTTCGATAATTTTGTTGTGAGCTTCTTCAGAGTTTTGTTGATTCGTTCATTTGTTACAAGCCTCGCACCCGGAACAGCAACGTATCCGTAATTTATAGCCTCACAATGTAATGTTAACAATAGCGAAATGTTTGTAGAATAATTCCCGTCAGCACTGAGCAGCATTAATTTAGAAATTAGTTCTTAATTTGTTTTAAACTCTTGATTCGGAGTAGCAGGTCATCATTCTGAACCATATTTAAAGGCTTAAATCTCAATTGGTGTCCAGTAACATAATCCAACCCAATATTTCTATCTTCCAATTGCAGCAAACGCGAATATTTCGAGCAACTCTATGGCGACTATATGCTATAATCACCAACACTACCACTATCACACCCCAAACATATAAAATCTAATCAACATTCCTCCATGAATATTTGTCTAAAACTTTAGTTAATAGCTCCGCCCCCCATATGCAATGGATACTTAGATTAAAGACTAACGAACATAAATACAAATAAAGCACAATTTTGTCGATTCTATTTGCCAAGTAGAGGGCCATTTCCGGCTTTCCATTTTATCTGCAAGACAATTATGTACGGATTACACACACGCATTTAATGGAAATCTACGGGCAGATCTGAGGTGCTGAAATATTTAAAGTAGAGCTATCGTTGGTGTTGCTTTGCTGGTGCTGCCGCTGCTAATCTAGTGTTGGACCTGGAATCCATCGGCCTGTCTTTACATGTAGATGAAGTTGAAACTGCAAAATGGAGAGAGTGTGTGGTTCAGTTAAAGAAAAGATTGTTCATGATTCATTCGCGGCATTCTTCTTACCGGCATAGGGCCTGCGGCAGCGATGAGATGATCGGTCCGTAGCCTTGCGAATTGTCGTATAGCTCGAAGAGGGGCGCCGCAACGAGCTTATAATTTTTGGGCACAGCAAATAGTGCTAGATTACAGAAAACGATAGAGACAGAATTTATGTATGTAGAGATATCATGGAGCATTGTAAATAACATCGTTTAAATGTACATATTAGCTAGATCGTTACAATCGGTTACAAAAAATTTACATAGTATAAAGAATCTATTGAGCTGCCACATGATATAAAATCTGATATATAAGAGACGTATGTATTATGTTTTACATTCATGGTTCGATTCGTTACACTCTAATTACTTTTATCCATCTGTTGGTCGGTCAGTGCTCTTGCTCTTGCCCAACGGTGATCTACCACTCTGATATTGAACATAATTATAAATGGTCTAAGCGAATTATTGGTGTCTTGTGCGCTGAAGCGGCAGCAGCCCGTTGTTCAGCGCACAAGCTATGAGCCGACAGAAGTATAACACAGTTTTTCATTCATTTGGTTATGGTTACATATAAACGAGTGCTTATATTAAGGAGCGACTTGCGCACAAATCCGTACAACATGCCGGATGTGGGCGCACGTTACAATGCTCTGCTGCTGCTGTTGCTGCCCTGCCTGCCCGTGACTCCCGACTAACTATTCGTAAACAGCCTTAAGACAAGAAGATCACATGACAATGACAATGACAGTTGACAATAGTAAGAATACTCGTAGAAGTAAAGAAATAATATCGTATGTATCGTAAGTATTTTGGGGAGAGGGGAAATACAGCTTACGCTTAGTCTCAAATGGATGTCGACATATTTACAAAATTAAGATAACAAGAACAATCATTGAGTTTTCGGATTTTGCGTGGGAACCAACAAAATATGCCAACACTGTTCTGAGCAAAAAAATACAAATTTTCTATGTTGTACAATGAATTCTAAAATCAAAACTAAGCCCGAAGGAATTCTGTTCTTTTTTTCTGATCTGTTTTTCTGTTTGCTCGTTTTGCCGATCTATGGCTATGGCACATGGCACTTTTGATAGTTGAGTTGGGTGGCACGACACACCAGCACGGCGCTAATGGAACGGCTCAGGGTACATCGTAACTGGCGTTCCTGTCCGTATCTAAACAGCATTGAAAAGATATGACATGAGGTTTGTTAGCGTATTCGGTTTTAGCAAACAGAAAAAAAACGATACAAGGATTATATAGTAGAAGATACATATAGAAATGGTTATTTCCATGGCATTTGTGCTCCTGGTGCATTTTTCTCGTCACTCAATATACCTACGCTGGGATGATTTTGACTTTTGGCGGAGCCAGAGCCAGCCAATTGGATATTTACCCTTTTCGTGGAGCTGAACAAGGAACAGCCGCTTGTGCTCCTTGGGCTTGGTGATGTGCGGTGGAATGTATGGATATTGTGGTGGCTCGAAATTGGGACGCCACCAATTTCCAATGGTGTCTTCGACAATCCACTCCTGTTTGACGCCGTCCTGACGACCCAGCGTCTACAAAAGAAAAAGGCCACCATAAGTATTACTTAGTCTGGGATGGACTACAGTAATCGGTGTTTTCCTACCTCGGAGAGTAGTCGCTTCAGACCATCGACCTCGTCCTCGCCAGCATTGAGCTCCCCGCCAGGCAATTTAAAGAATGTCGTGCCCAGCTGCAACAGCAGCACATGCGGCAGGCCATGTTCGTGGACGAGCAGCACTCCCTCCACGGAGCGGCGCATGCCAATACGATCGAATTCCTCGCGCATTCTCTGAAAACGTGATGGCACCGATGGATCCTTCTCAAACAGCGACTCCTTCGTGCCGAATGTGTAGTTAGTCAGGGGATATCTGTGCAGGGGAGAAGTTAATATCAATATATTCCGCTATGGCCACATCAAAGGGTTACTTACAGATTGACGGTGCGATTTATGGTCAGTGCCTGGTTGTTGGCAAATTTCTGCGTGCCATTATTATTGCTGCTGCTTCCGCGGAGCGGCCAGCCCGAGCCCGATTTGTTTGAGACTTGCGAGGACGCCATTTTGTTATACACACACCGCCAGTGAAGGAATTGGTGAAAAATACGATGATAGCACCGAAAACGAGGCTTCACGTTTGGGTAATAGTTCCCCAACAATTATACCAGAGTTTTGGTGCAAGGTATTGCTCTAATTTTGCAATTTTCCGTGGTTTTTACTTTTTCTAGCACTTTTTTTTATGTCCAGCGTTTTGCAAAAAAGAATTCACGCCGGCCGCGACAGTAACCTCAGAAATATACCAAAATATACCATCTCATTTTCAAAATATACCGAAAATTAACTTAACCCACTCAGCCGGAATCTGTTCATAAATTCTTCTCTTGGGATGCAAAAATATTCCTCTTTACATACAAAAACAAATAAATTCATTTCCTACAAAATATTCATGTTTCTAGCTGATAAAGTTAAATATACATAATATCAAAATGGTTAAAAATTATTTATGATACGATTTATTATTTGGAAAATATGCAGGTATATATTGGTTTATTTTTGAGGGTCGTGTGGTATATTTGATGAATAAATCCGGGGTCCCACTGGTTGACGTTGTCGTTTTTTGTTTATGTTGAACGTTTTCGGAAAAGTCGGCTGTTTTCCCCCGTCTTGCCAGCCATGAAAAGCTTATAAAAAGCTAAATATAAAAATCAGCTCAGCGCGGCCAAACACACAGTGAGTTCTTTGCTCGGTGCATTTTTTTTCATGTCGATGGAAAATATGTGAGTCGAGACAGGAACGGAACGCAGCAGAAACGCATCTTGTATGTGTGTATATGTATATATGCAACGGTGTGCCTGTGTTTGCATTTGTGTGCGAGTGGCTGGTGCAAGGGAAAATCCTTATTATAAATGAAAACTGGTGAAATGTGTAAGTGCAGCATTGAAAATGCAACAGCAAGTTGCCGTCGCTTTGAACTTTTCCATTTTCATGTTCTCTTCTCATCTTATTTTCTCCCCCGACCGCGGTGGCCCAGACGACAACCAACTCCCACTTGTACGTGTGCGGGGTGCGCAGTGAAGAAGGGTGTTTACCTCTGTCCGATTTCCTGTGTGTGTTTGAGTGCATGTGTGTGTGTGCGTGCCAGATAGACTCGAATTTCTGTTGGTTTTTTCCGTCCGTTGGAGGATATTAGTGTCGCAGGACGGCATTAGCCGCAAAAGGTTAATATGCTTGCAGACATCCATTAATTGCGCAAAAGGTCACAAGTTAGACACTACGCAATGTGGTAGGGGCTATTTGGTGGGTGGGACGGACGGGAGCCAGAGGCTGCTGGTGCGAAGAACAAAGAGGACGAAAAACACTACGGGGTGAATTCGTCGCGCGGCGAATTCGGATCGGAAACGAGAGCGGGCATAGAAAAGGAGCAAAGGAGCAAGCAAAAAGTAAGGACTGTCGCCAACCGGCAAATTGGTAATTATGTCAGCGGCGGAACTTGAGGCGGAAGCTGCCGCAAAGGAACAGCAGCCAGAGCAGCAGCAATCCCACAGCGAGCAAACACACACTGCCAACGCGGAGACTTTAAGCACCACAAACAACTACAAAGAGAATGTGGATATTGACCAGCAGCTTCAGCTACACGCCCAGATGCAACAGCAACAGGAGGGGGACAACGGACTGGCCGGCCTGGGCCTGAGCCTGATGCAGAACTCGCCACCGCCGCACAGCTATCGTCATTCACGAGCCTATCGCCATTTTAAAAACCCGCCGCAGCCGCACATGTGCATCCGCACAACCACTGAGACGGGCGAGGAGCTGTTCATCAACGTCCTTAGCTGGACGCGTATTGTGATACCGCAGGAGCCCAGTGATCCCATACCCCTATATGGAGGCATGCGCGTGAGTTAACATTCTAGCATCAAGTTCTTCTTTGTAGACTGAATATTCTTTCAATTTTAGGTGCCGCCTGGCAGCCCGCGTAGCCCGCCCATTGTCTTTGCTGTGATGGCCAATCCAGAGGTCCTCAAGGACTCTGGACGCCACAGCAAAGATCCAGAGGAGCGACGCGCAATGGTTGAGCTAATGTGCGACTTTGTGGAGGCTATGAATCCCGGCGTGAAACTAGTCAGGTGCCGTCTAACCTATCTACGCGTTTGCAAAGTGCAAACTAATGTTTCAATCTTTTCGTACCCTAGAAACGCTGTCATACTCAAAGATCGGGACATTTCTGGCGAGTTGAAAGATGTCTGGAATGCCGTGCAGGCCCAGCGGGACCGCGAGCGGGAGGAGCAAATGCTCCAGCAGCGACAGCAGCAGCACTACCAGAACATCACCACACAGCAAATGTTTCCCAAATCGCCAGATGCGGCACGAGCTGCAAGTGCTGGCGCCGGCGTAAACGAAGCCAACTCTCCACCAGCTCACATTGGTGAGCCGCTGATGGCAGAGCATGGAAATATCAGTGCCAATGGCATCACTTTGGCAGTGTTTGCACAGCAGCTGGATAACAAAGTGGCCAGCGAGCAGACGGAACAGCAGCAGCATGTGGAGTCGCTGCCAACGATTGAGGATGCCTGTGTGGATCAAACGGATGCTGGAGGCAGCTCAGGGGCCAATACGAATGGCTCAACGACCGGCATGGACAGTCAACAGGCGGCGGAGACCGAACCAGAGCTTAAGAACGCCACACCCGTGGCTACCAATGGAGCCGGCACTCCCACAACAAGCGCTTCAACGCACATGCCAGCTGCCACGCCACCGACTACGGTCGCACCCACACCCACACCCGTAGCAGCTGCACCAGCCAAGAAGGAGAAACTTGGAGGCTTCCTGCCCAACGGCTGTATCTTCCCGCGCTTCAAGAACAACAAGCACAAGGACAAGGACAGCAGTCACAAGGAGGGCAAGAGCAAAGAGAAGACCCTCCTGAATGCCCTCAAGAAGAGCAAAGAGAAGAAGGTGGCTCCCAGCGAGCAGGCGGCTGGCGAGAAGGCTGCCGCCTCATCGGACAATGGCACCACGCAGTACGAGAAGAACTGCATCAACAATCTGGAGTGCGAGGTGCAGAAGCTTGATCTGAACGGCAGCAACAACGACACAAATATGTTCATCAAGCTAAAAGTGTCATCGGCCAGCGCCACAGCAGCTACCGCGGCCAAGTAGGAGGGGAGGGGTGCAGATGATTTATACTCAACATTTTGTAGGTAAGTTGGCGTGGAATAGGAGGGAGGGACACCCAAGCCCAGGCACTCACTAGCATAGTGGTGGCTCCACAGAGTAGGGATCGTAGCTTCTGGAGAGAGAGAGGGTCAGGGTCTGTAGGAGTCACTGTTGTAGCACGTAGGGTTAGAGTCGTGTAGCATATACAAGATTTATATATACAGAATACGTTTATATATATACAACCCACTTATACACGTTGAATCGGTCAATTTTTGGATACAAAATCCAGCCGCAGACTCGAAAAAGAACCAGAACTACTCGTAGAACAGTTGTGCCATGCTCCCCATGCTCATAGACATACATAGACGATGACATACACTAGCAGAATCTTCCCCAGAATCGGCATTTAACTGAGAAATGATAAACGTATTTATATAGTTCGATATACAGATGTTTGCCTTATATACAAGATGTCCCCACAGAGAGAGATAGAGAGAGCGATAGAGTCCTAAAACCCCAACAAATACAAATACAACAAAAGAAAGAACATTAAGAACAAAGAATCAATGTATTTAACACTTAGGGATTGCTGCCATGGCATCAATCGTCAAATGTAACTAATGCGCCAAAACGAATATCAATCGCACTCACTCCGCCACCTCCGATTACATCTTAGACTAAAAGGTATATCTATCTATGTGCTAAACCCATTCCCCCATTCCCATTGTCAAATCCAATTCGAAAGTATTACAAATCCTCTTTGATCTCCGCGCCTTGAAGTTGAGGGGGGAGTACACATCCTGCGACCTACGTACGATCTACGACCTGTGGAGGCTTAAGCGCTGCTGCTGGCTCAATGAGAAACAACTAACTTATGTACCTTACAGTGTATACCCGAACACAGAAGTATACCAATCCGCAGAGTCGCTAATAGGTTTTACATAACTTTTGTTAAAGTTAATCTTTTATTTTTTTTGGTTCTGTGCTACTTATGACTTTCTTTATCTTGTTTAAGTTTTCTCCTGCATGCTCTCTCCTTTAACTATTTAGCTTTATTTTGTTTGTTTGTTTGTATCTAACCACTCAACAAAAACATAAAAACGAATCCCTCAACTTCAAAGGAAGCCATTCATTCGGCCCATCATCATCTGAAAACAAAAATTCGAATAAAATATTCAGTAAATTCAAGTGAAAGGAAAAAAGTAAATGTTTCAACTGCAAATATCGGACTGAACAATGCTGCCATATAAAAATATATACACGTACATATTTATATGCAAAAAGCAATGAGTGTTTTTGTATATGAAACCACAAAAACCAACATTTCCCATAAATTAATGAAATTTCAATTGTGATCCAATCGAAAATCAAATTTTGTTTCCACATCGAACAATTTTATTGAAAGAAATACTACACCATGTATACCGAATAAAATATAATTTTGTTTGCTAGAAAAAACAACTCAAACGAGGAATCTTCAGTAGGAAACATTATTCTCCACTTGGGTTTTGTTGTTCAACTTTAAAATCTTGTATTTTTTGTTCGTTAAGGTGCCATACAGTAAAATTGTATGAGAACTAATCAAAATCGATTGCTTTCAATTGGTATTTTAATTAGAGCCTAGTGTTTGCTTACTGACTTCCGCGGGAGTCCTCTGAAGATGGTTGGCAGATGATGGAGAACGAACCCTAAAGTATATGCTAGTTTTTAACTGGTTGTAAATGAGAAATGCTCGTGTAAAATTAGTATAGAATCATGGCATGACCATTGCAGCAAACAGAACACCACAACATCACACTATAATTACAAATTAAAACTTAGTCTAAGTAAAAAAAAAAGCAATAATTTTACTTGAAAAGCGGCAAAATGAAACGAAACGAAATGCAAAAAAAATTATGGGGCGTATAGCTGCAGTGCGTGTAAAATGTTGGTTAACACAATAACTTCTACAACAACAAAAGTAAATTCCCCAAGTAGAGGATAAAACACCTGCAAAACGAGCAAGGAGTGACAACCAACCCCCACACATTTTTATATGTATATGTATGTAATAATAAAAGATCGTATTTGACAAAAGTGTAGTTTAATTTGCGATTTATTTCAAAGGAGGTAATAAATATTGGTTGATATCTGAGATATGCTGATGAATGCTGCTACTTCCTACACAACTTCCTGTACAAGGCGGTCCCCAAAGGACCTACTCATCCTTGTTGTTGATGGCCCGAAGGCGCTCCAATTCGGCGCGCTCCTCCTTGTTGCGCAGCAGTGGCACATTGTAGTCGAAGGCATAGAAGAATCCTTTGGGCTCGCCAGTCTCCTCGGGGCCGGGCACGTAGGCGGGCTCCTCGTGCACGTATTCGCGGGTCTCGGCCTCTGAGGGCTGGTAGCTACCCTCCTGCTGGTACTCGGCGGCATAAGGATCAGGATTGTGACCAGCGGCGGCGGCCAGCTCTCCCCAGAGCCTGAAGTGCTCCTCCTCGGCCTTGAGAACGGCTGGGGTCTTGGTGGCTGGTAGCTTCAGATGCGCGGGACGATTGTCCTCAACATGGAAACCAGACTTGTCGGCGTAGTACGTGGCAATGAAGTCACGGCCATGGGGCTGGACATACTTGTAGGATCCGGTCACTTTGCCGGTCTCGTCACGCTTCTCGTTCTTGCCCTGGTTCCAGTCTTTGTAGCCGTACGCAAACTGCCCCAGACCATCCTGTCCGTGGTACTGATGGGCGTCGTAGTGCTCCTCCACATAATCCTCGGGATGCTCGATCACACGTCCCATGTAAACGAACTGTCCCTGCTCATTCCTGGCCTCGGGCAGGGGATTCTCGCCAGTCTTTGGGGCATACTCGATGTCCCCGATGCCACGCAACTGGGCGCTGTTCAGAAACTGTTGTGCCTCCTCGGGCGTGATGTTTATCTTAAAGATGTTCTCGGCACTGGCGGCGGTGGCCTGAAAGAATATTTAAGGTTTAGTTGTATTAAGTGTGAATCAAACAAGTCCAAAAACTATGGCCAAACATGATAGATGGCTGGCTTATATTATACAAGTTCAAGGGGGGCTTTATGACACACTGCCCGATTCTTTATAAGCGAGTATCAGAGTATCATCTCCAGCGATGATGTCATTTCTTTGCTTTAGTAACTGATTAAATACTTGTCTCTGTAACTTTAAGTTCATTTGTTTTTTTGCACATTGTATAACTAATATTTGCACTGACATTCGCGAAGACACACATGCGGTTGACATTTATGGAGTCACAACCCGGATTTTAATTGAATAGAAATAGATACAGATTCCATTTCCATTCAGCAGAGATCTTTTAATCGCGCGTCGTAAATTTTATCTTAATTATGCAAATTCTCCAGTCTCTCTCGGTTACTAACCAGCAACAGGGCAGCCAAAATGAAGCACTTCATTGTGTGTGTGTTTGTGTGATTTAAATATCAAAATATTATTCGGCTTAGATACAATATATCCAGGTATCGTTTGTGTCGTTCTGCAGTTGGCGCGCTACTAATATCCGAGTAACCCAAGGCACTGCTTATATACTAACTTTCAACTCGGATTTGTTTTGCGCTTTGCATAAAATAAATCCCAACGTTACGATATTTGAATGAAGATGTGCCTGAGTGTGTGGTGTGCCGAGACCAGCATCACCTGTCCGGTTTCTTACTCAGCGACAGAAGCAGCGGTCGTCGGATCGCCAATAACAACAATTTGAAGTTCATTATCAACGTCCGTCGCTCAAATTCGCACTTCTCACACTCACACACAGACACAAAGCTCACACAGATACGACTCGTACAGCAAAGCAACGAAAACATCATTAATTTTGCACAATACAATATGTTTGCGGTATGCTCAATTAGTTATCTAATATTTGTAGTTCTATGGACTACCCATCTTTTGTTTCTATTCCCATTTGCCGCAGCCCTTTCAGGGGACCGCCTCGAGTGTACTGTACGCTGAGTGGCATTCTGTACGCTCGTTGACTGTCAGTTTCGAGTATCTCAAAGATCGTTTTATGGAAACACTTAAAATCCTCATCCATGCGTGCTTGAGGTGTATTAGACAATGAGTGCTTGTGGCTTAAGCAAATATTTGTACAATGATACAGCTGGAATAGATAGTTCCCATAACTTGCAGAATTTCCTTAACTTTCGTGCCACCTTTTGTCATCTTGGAATGTCGCAAAAGGCATAAATCCACTTAAAAAACATGTCCCAAACTCTTGAATAGTGAAATACAGGAAATATATTTCCATAACAGGATACTGCATAGTCGACTCTTGGAATATTTCTACCATTATTTCTGTTGCCGGGCTGTGATTTATTTACAATTAAGCATCTTTGAGCGCCTCAATCACTTTTTACTTTTAATTCATGCAAAATTTACAGCTTTGGGTTTCCTGTAGATCGGCGGAAGTTTTCTGTTTAGACATGCGCCAACCTCTTGATGTCCGCCTCACTTGTGCATAATTAGATATAGGATGCACGATGGTAATCACATCACTCAGACCTGAAACGCTATCAAATGTCAGTACAATAAGCTCAGCTAAAGTGTAATTAGAGCCTCTCAACCTCTTTGCGAAGATTTTTCGGATCGTTTCGCTTTGCTGTAGAATCGTATCGTGATGGCAGAACGATTGAAAGGCGCTTGTTAGTGGGCTTACAAGGGCCGTGACCGTGGCATTCAAGGGCGCAGTGAAAACTGCGCAGTTTCTCGATTACAAAATGATTTAGCTATTTAAATAATAAGTACATTTCACGTTCCAGGCTGGGCCCAACACAGAAATCGGACATCTTTGAACTGCGACTAATGCAACAGGCTAGTCTGAAAGCCCAGCAATTGCCACATCACCTTCCGTAGTAGCATCATGCTCATCGGTAGCAGTCATCAATTTCTCAATGATTTGGGTCTTTTGGCTATTTTTAGCACAGTTTTTTGGTTTTTTGCCAGACAAAGGTGAGCCAAACCTGAGACTTTCGGGGTTCTATCACAAAATCTTTAGAAAAAACAAGGGTTCTGGGTTATTTATGATTCACCAACGGGTTAACCAAATATTCTAAGCAACAACATAACCCACTGACGTCTAACTTCTTAACATTTTTGCTATTTTGTTACTTAACTTATTTATTTTGTTATTCTGGCAATTTCGGGAATTTAATGGAATGGGAAACCGCTTAACAAGCAAATAAACAAGCTAAGTTGTGTGGCATCTTGTTATTTGGAAAATTACTTGATTCACTTTTCGATGTTGTTATTTTGTTCTTAGTCGCTGACTAAGTCGTTGGTGATGCAAAAGTCTAAATAAAAACCAAGACCTAATTTCCAACAAAAAATCAGGTTTTTGGGCTCCACCATCTTACAATTTATTTTATTTGTTATATATAATATATTGTTGTTCTTTATACTGACGTTATAAAGCATGCAACGTTTAATTGAGTTGAATAAATAATGGGCACTGTGCTGTGGGAAATGTGTAAAATAATTATTAAATTTTTAATACTTCCACGGAAG